TTTTTTTTTTTTTTTTTGGGTTTTCTTCAAAAATGAAATTTATAGCTGAGCATGGTGGCCTACCTATAATCCCAGCATTCAGGGAGGCTGAGGCAGGAGGACTGCCTGGGCTCCACAGCGAGATGAACTGGACTGTACAGCGAGATGCTGTCTCATCAAGCAAGCAGAACAGGAGTGAAAGTTTTGGGACGCTCACAAGCAGTTGGACAGTCCGCTGGGCGCTTGAATCCATGAGTGTATAGCATCACAAGTCTTGGAGTTCTTAGTTTTGTTCTGTTTCTCTGAGACAGCGTCTCTGTATAGTGCAGGCTGGCCTCGAACTCACAGCGACCCAGGTGCTGGATTACAGGCCCTCACCGTCCTGCCTTGCAGTCTTGGATTTTTTTAGATAAATTCCACAGGAAAGCTGTCCGGGTGTGCCTGGTTCCCAGGCCGGGGAGACTACGCTGTGCAGGCCACATCAGCCGCTGCTGTCTCTGAATCATCTCTTCCTTTCCGAGGGAGTTTTCCAGCCCACCGCCTCTTCTCCCCGCATGAGGCCCGGCCGGCCTTTGCGCCTCGGCCGTGCTGATAACGTCCTTTCAACAGGAAGCGCGTTCTCAGCTGTCCTGCCGGGCTGCGGAGATAAGCAGCGTGGAAAGGCAGATCTCGGGCACCACCCTGGGCTGCAGCTTTGATCCCAGAAAGCTGGGACCTGGCCTGGCGGCAGCTGCTGGCCACCAGGGCAGGACGCTCAGGCTGCAAAGGGCAGTTGATTGAGGTTGGGTTAGGTGCCCGCTCTAAACCAAGAAGTTCGGATTTAAATCCGTGCAGGGAAACATTAACCAACTAAAATCCGTGCGTGTGTGCGTGTGTGCACGTGCGCATGTATTTGTGTGGTGCTGACTCCAGGGTCGTCATAAATTTTCTTTGATTTCCCCCCAAAATGGTGTTGGTTCTTCGTAGGTTGCTCATGAACATCACCCAGGAGGGAAAGGGACCTTAAATGAGCCAGGGGCCTCAGGGGAGTTGCTGGTGATCCTCCTGCCTCAGCCTCCTGGGTGCTGGAATTATAGGTGTGCGCCATCTCTCCCCGGCTGTCCCGTAGCCTTTCTGCAGTGGATCTGCCGGTGCTGCGGTTCAAGTGACTCAGATGCAGGGATATCATCATGTGTTGGTATTTAACTTGTGTGCAGCTGTGTTTCATGTGTGTGCGGCTGCCCAGGCCTAGGCTGTGCCAGGAAGCAGGCAGATGCTTTCTGGGGTGCTTGGGATCCCTCTGGCACCCTCACAGCAGTGCCCCTACTTTGGTTCCTCCCTGGCTTTGCAGGAAGCTTTCAGCAACGCCCCCAACTAGAGCGGCTCCGCCCTTGGGCACTGCGCCTGGAGTTTCCCATGCAGTCTCCCCTTTACTCTGAGGCTGGACTGCGCTGCCCAGCTTTAGGCTCTTAAGTCAGCTGCTTGGGGCGGTCTGGGTGCTGGGACCCTGGCCTGAGGGCCCCGCCCGCCCCCCCGCCCCGTCCTCTGTAATGTTCCTGTGCGTGGGACGTGGAGCTCTCCTCCCGCTGCTTCGCACGGAACAGCGAGTTGCAGGGCTTTGCCCATCCTGCGCTCTGAGCTTGTTATTTATTAGCGGCCTTGCTGGGCGGAGGTACTCTGCCTTGCAAGCCTTCCCCCGCTGGTAGGCCTCACGCCGTTCCCGTGGCTTCCCCTGTGGCGGACAGCCACCCCGTGGGCCTTTCCTTTCTTGTGGTCAGACACTGCTGCCTGTGGACACTGCAGCCCCACCAGCCAGGGACGAGGGAACTGGTGTGATCACCTGACATCAGCCTTCTACACTAGCTAAAGGATTGCCCTTTGCGGCATTTCATGTTTAATTGCTGCGTGCTTTATTTAATTGTCAGGGCTTGGGCACTAGTTCCTCCCCCCTTCCCCCCTTTTTGGAAAGACTCAGCTTGTTGCTTTGTGTGTGTGTGAGTGAGAGACAAGGTTCACTGTGTAGTTCAGACTGGCTTTGAATTCACTGTGTAGCCCAGGCTGGCCTCAAACTCACTGAGAACCTCCTGCCTCAGCCTCCTGAGTGCTGGGATTACAGTTGTGTGCCACCAGGCCTGGCCCAGCTGTGACTCTTGATCTCACTGGAGCTGATGTCTTTGCCCGGAATTTGGGGGTTGTCTGCCCTCTGTGGACCTCTGGGCCTGCATAATGCCTCACATTGTCTGGAAAAGGAAGATAAAAGGTATTTCGACAGACAGCTTTTGGGATTATTGCTCGAGTGTAAGAATAGCATCAAGGTGTTAAGATTTCTTTAGTGTGGCTTTTTTTCAAAAGAGCCACAGGCCTTTTGAGTGGTTGCTGGAGCCTTCGGTATCTCTGTGGAGAACTGGTGGTAACAGTTGGGATAGGGCGGCCCTTGGTGGCCTTCTCTCTGATGGGTCCCTTTGGCTTTTGTCTGGCTGAGGAAGGGAACTCGAGAGGAACACAAGGCCTAGGTCCTTTGCTTTATGTGCAAAAGTAGTAGTTTATATGCACGTCGTCATTGCTATTGTCGGACACTGGGAGAAGGGCTTACATATGGCTCTATTAACTGATTTAATTCGTGCAACGATCTTAGGCTATAGCTCCTTTTTTGTTTTTTTGAGGCAGGATCTTGCTACGCAGTCCAGCCCAAACTCTCAGTGATCTTCCTGCCTCAGCCTCCCGAGTGCTAGGATTGTGCCACCACACCTGGCAGTGATCCCATTCAATTATCATAGCCATCCCCGAGGCAGCGGGTTTCAGGATCTGAGGACCCGTGTACAGAGGAGGTGTACAGGGAGGTGATCTTACTCAGTAGGTGACTGTCCCTGTTGTGGTTCCTTTCTTTTTTTTTTGGCATCAGGAATCGAACTCACTACCTTGCGCTTGCCAGGCAGGCGCTGTGCTGCTGAGCTATATCCCGGCCCTTGCTGTGGTTCCTGAGCAGGGGCCCTGCCCCTCTCAGGGGGGCTTTTGCTACCACAGGTCCCTTGATCCTGCTCTGCTGCCTCTGAGTCAGCCCCTGTGTCACTCAAGGTCTGTGACTGTTCTGTTCCCTGCAGCTGGGCGACCCTGGTCCTGGCGGTGACCACAGAGTGGCAGCTGTGTCTGCTCGCCCGGGTCTCCTGAGGTGGCTGCTTCCCCAGGCAACCCGGAAGCCCAGGAGGCAACTGTGAGGGCGCCTTAGGGGCGGGACGGCCTGGTTCCAGTGGGGTGTGTTGGGGTTAAATCTGGACCCACACTGGCTTTGCTCATAGCAGTGGCCCTGGTACTAAAAGCTACAATTGATCGCTGTCTTTTTTTTTTTTTTTTTTTTGGTACCGGAAATCGAACTCAGGACCTTGCACCTGCCAGGCAGGCCCTGTGCCCAAGCTATATCCCTGGTTATTTGGAGATACCGTCTTGAACTCACTGTGTAGCCCAGGCTGGCAACAATCCTCCTGCCTCAGCCTCCTGAGTGCTGGGAGCACAGGAATGCGCCACCACACCTGACTCATACTTTAGACAGCTCACATCACTTTGTGGAACTCTCTTTTTTGATGCCCTTCAGTGTAGGCTTTTATGCTTGTGTTACTTACACAAAGATTGGGGCGGGGGTGCTGTCGTTGCTGGATTCTCAGGAGCCCCCATTTTTGCTGGCAGAGGGCTGGGGCTGTCTGGTGGGGAGGACGTGTGCGGGACTGAGAGCAAGGTGCGTGACGGGACCTGGCGGCCGCTGTCCCAGAGCCCTCGAGCGCGAGGCCGACTGCAGCTTTGGGGTGCCCTGGTGGTCAGAGAATGGTCTCATGAGGTCATGCGCGCCACCAAAGAATCATCTGGAAGCAGGAAAAGGTTCAGCGGCCGCCGAGGCGTGCGGGGACCGAGGCTTCCAAGCTGCAGAGGCTGATTCCCGGGAGAGCCCCAGGGCGCTAACCGCTGGACGCTAACCGCTGCGTGATGCGGGTTTGCGTCTTCGCGGGCCGGGCTGCTTCTCCTGGGTGGAGAGATTCTGAGTTGGGGAGAGGTGAACTTGCGCATGCGCTTCGCCCAGGCGGGCAGCGCTCGGAAACGTCATTGCCACCCCGCAGTGCGGAACCACGGTGCTGTGCGCATGCGTGTATGCACGCATGCGCTTTATTTCGCCGGCGGAGTTCTTGGGCTCCGCCAGGTTAGCCTACCCCGCCGGCCTCCTCTCGTCTACCTGGCTCTGCTGTATTACAGAGCCACCTCTGGGTGGTTCCAGAGGTTGCTGTGTGCTTGTTTTTGTGGGTATCAAACCCCAGGACCTGATCATGCGAGGCAAGTGCTTTATTGCTGAGCCGGTTACTGAGCTCAACAGTTAACAGAGGAGCCGGTCGTGGTAGAGCACTCCGGTAATCCCAGCACTCTGGGAGGCTGAGGCAGGAGGATCGCCGTGCTTTTGAGGACAGCCTGGATGACATAATGAGACCCTGTCTCAAAAAACAACAGTTAACAGAGAAATGTATGTGTCAGGGTCAGGTTGGTGGTTCTATGTGACAGCTGCAGACCATGAAAAGCACCTGCTGGCTGGGAACAGGAAGGGCAAGGCCGGCGGGTTTCTCCTCTCTCCTGGGCTGCACGGCCAGCCCCGTGTCCCTTGGTGTGGAACGAGCAGCAGTGGGCTGGCTGCCACAGTGACGTAACCATCTCTCCTCTCTGTCCCACGTTCTCCAGGCGGGGGCCCCGGTGATGTCCAGCGCGGCCGACAGTGCCAACCCCGAGAGCAGCGAGCTCAAGTATTCGGGTCAGGACGGGCTCTACATCGGTGTCAGTCTGGCCTCGCCGGCCGAAGTCACATCCTCCGTGCGACAGGATTCCTGGTGCGCTCTGGCCCTGGCCTGAGCTGCGCTGCTGGGAGGCGGGGAGGACTTCACCGGGGTCCGCACCCCTGAGTCCCCACGGTGGTGACCACGCAGATGGAACATTCCTCGGATGCGGGATTCTGTGCCTTTGCTTTGAAAGAGACTTACCAGCCAGAGGCCTGCGAGTGCAGGAGAAGGGCTCTTCCGGGCCTGAAGGGCCAGCGCCACCTCCAGCCGCCCTGCAGCCCGGGGACCGGCCCGGGGACCCGCCCGGCCTCCCCTGCTGAGAAGGATAGAGAGTTTCGTGGAAAGATTTCCTAGCATTGTCCCAAATCGTGTGTTTCTTCTGATCCATTGGTTATTCCAGAACTTCTTCACATCGCGGGAGGCCTCTTGGTGCACGTCGTGGGAGCTGGGTCGGCTCTAGAGGAGGTCTGGCAGAGAGCGCCCCTCAGCTTGCAAGGCTAGGTCTAACTCTAACTACACTGTGACTGACGTCCAAGTTCAGCTCGCGTGACCGCTGTGAGGTCGGTCGCCGTTTGTAAACAGGGTAGCAAACAAAATATTTTTCTTCCATGTATACAATAATTTTTTTTTTAAAAAGTGCAATTTGCGTTGCAGCAATCAGTGTTAAATCATTTGCATAAGATTTAACAGCATTTTTATAATGAATGTAAACATTTTAACTTAATGGTACTTAAAATAATTTAAAAGAAACAATGTTAACTTAGACATTCTTATGCTTCTTTTACAAACACATCCCATTTCTATATTCCCAATGGTTGAAGAAAAACGATTTCAAGAACAAATCTTCTCAGGAAAATTGCCTTCGTCCACTTGTTGAGGATTTTTATACAAGAACCCCATTGTACCCCCTTTCTTGGACTGTGGAATATGTGCTGGAAGAACTTTACTACCTAACGAATAGCATTTGTAAATATCTGGGCATCTGTAAACACTCGGAGGTTGTACAGTGTGACTGACCCACAGGTTGGTTTACATTCTTTTTTTTTTAAAATGGGATGTCCTATGGAAACCTATCTCACCAGAGTTTTTAAAATAAAAAGGGTATTGTTTTGTGTTCTTTCCCTTTCAGCTTGCTTTTGATGCTACCCGGGGCCGTGATCTTTGTATAAAACAAGTGCAGGTGATGCTGTGAACTGCCTGAGGGCCGTCTTCCCAAGGCCTGTCCTTTGGGAGGTGTTACCATCTTGGTTTCTGTGAGGTTGGCACATGGAATCTGCGTTTTCCATGTGTGTTGGCAGCAAATTTTATAAGAAAGGAGCCAGTATTTTTTATTATTTTGAGACAGGGTCTTGCTGTATAGCCCAGGCTGGCCTCCAACTTGTAGCAATCCTCCTGCCTCAGCCTCCCGCATGCTGAGATTACAGGGGTGCGCCACCATGCCTGGCTAGGACCCTAGAACCTTGTCGAATGACATTATCTGAGATTAAAAGCATTTTGCTTAGGATCAATGCTGAGACGCGTTTTAGGGCGCCCGAGACTTCTTGTGAGTGAAATACGCTGTGTGGCCTGAGAGCAGAAGGATTCCTCTCTGGTTCCTTCATGGAGCAGTTCGACATTTCACAGCTCAGTGAGGCTGCAGAGCTTCCGCCCTTTGGGGGATCCTTGGAGATCTCTGAACGCTTTATTTTTTATTTTTTTGTCTCTTTGAGATAGGGTCTCGCTGTGCAGTTCAGGCTGACCTTGAGCTCACTTTGTAGCCCAGGCTGGCCTTGAACTTGCAACGATCCTCCTGCCTCAGCCTCCCGAGTGCTGGGATCACAGGCGTGCGCCACCACGCCCGGCTGGGCCTCCTCTGTGCCTTTGCTGAGCCCGCTCTGTGGCACTGAGTGCGACTCTGTGGCGCTGTGTCGTAAAATAGGTGGCGCTGGTGTCTGGGTTTAGGGCTGGCATGCGTGTGGATTTGGGGACTCATGGAGCCCATGCGTGTGCACCCTGTGACTGACTCCGATCCTCCTGCCTCAGCCTCCCCAGTGCTGGGATCATAGGTGCGCACTCCCGTGCCTGGCATTAGCATTACGTGTCGCCTGTGCTGTATGGTTTTGGGTGCTTTGAAGAACATCTTTTCCCTGTGGAGTATCAGTAGCGTATGGTCTCCAGCACTCTAATGTCCCTTGGATCAGCTTTCCCTTTTAAAATGTTTTTTCCAGCACTGGGGATTGAACCCAGGGCCGGGCGCGTGCTGGCTGGTGCTGTAGCACCCAGGGGTGCTGGGGGTGGGGGTGTGGCAGTCCGTCCACCATCCGCCTTGGGCTGATTGTTTTATAGAAGCGGGCTGCTCTGACACCAGAGGAAAATTATTGCCCTCCCCAGCTAATCTCCCCCGCCGTTTATGGTTCTCCTTATTTTTAGAGCTTTCTGGAGGGCTGGGAGTTACTATGCTTTGATTGGAAAGTGCATTTTTCTTGTTGCGGCTTCCAGATGATCCTCGGTGTGGGATGATTTTGGGGACCACACCTCACAAGCCTCAGCGTCCTCTCCTGCCCTGCACACTGGCTAGGAAGTCCAGGGAAGGACTCCCTGTCAGCCTTTCCCAACAAATTCTGCTCATCTTGGCCTTTTTTTTTTTTTTTTGTACCGGGAATCGAACTCACGACTTTGCGCTTGCCAGGCAGGCTCTGTGCCGCCGAACTAAACCCCCAGCCCCACATCCGGGCCTTTTTAATGACGACTTCTGTGTCTGGATTGCACAAAGCAGAAGCTTGCTGACTTGTTTCCACTAAACCCGCTTGGCATTCCCTCCCCTAACGTGTTCCCCAAACGCACGAGCAAGCGTATTCCAGGAGGGGACGTGGGGACGCGGGGACGCGGCCACGGGCCGCCCGACCGATGTCCCTGTTCACCGCCTCCAGGCCGTGCGGGGGTGACGGAGCCCCGTGTCCCTTCGTGTTGCTTCCTCCTGCCGCGGCACGGCCAGCAAAGCAGAGAGGGCCGCTGCTCTCCCCCCGCGAATACGTTAACCTCTCACTCTTGGGAAATGTCTTCCCCGGGCCTCGGGAATTTGGTATGATTTCAGATCCAGATAAAGGGCAGCGCAGTGAGCCTAGCGACCTGGCCGGATGTGGTGTGGGCACCGGAGTGTCTGAGCTCACTTCGGGCTCCAGGAGGCCTCTGTGAGGGGCGCCCCGGGGGAGGGAGGTGGGGGCAGCAGATACTTACTCATAATTTGGCGCCACTGGGCAGTGAGAGTACACACTGTCTCCGGGTGGAAACCAGAACAAGTCCTCTCGGCAACAGCAGTTGTTGCCTGTTGCCTCTAAGCTCTATGTAGCGGTCAGATGGGAGTTTATTTACTTTTTTGTATGTGTTTGGTTTTGAGACAGGGTCTGTGGGCCCAGATTGGCCTTGAACTTGAAGCCATCCTCCTGCCCCAGCCTCCTGAGTCCTGGGATGATGGCCATCACCACCACGCCCGGCAGGAGTTTGATCATTTTACATGGGGGAGAAATCTGGGGAAATGGCGAAGTGAGCCTGGTGGGTGGTTCCAGAGGGCTCGGACGGACAGGATGTTGTGGTGCGTGTGATCCGGGAGCTATTATCATCGAAGCAGCCTCGATACCCGGGTGTCCCCTGGCATCGAGAGGCGCATTACAATGGGTGCTATCGCCACACTCCTCCCTCGCGGTCATGGCAAAGCGACTGCGTCATGGCAAAGCGACTGCTCCACCACCGATGTCACTGTTTCATTGAAGCAGATACTTTTGTATTTGTCTTGGCGTCCTTTTTTGGGTGAGCCTAACATTTCAGGCTGGGCTTGGTGTGGTGCACCCCTATAATCCCAGCACTCTGTAATGCTTGTGCCAGGCACGGTGGCACGCACCTCTGCTCCCAGCAGTTCGTTGGTTGAGGCAAGAAGATCACTGTGAGTTCAAGCCCAGCCTGGACTACATAGTGAGTCCCTGTCTCCAAAAAAAATAAAGAAAGAAAAAAAATGTTTTTGAAAATGGGCTAAATTAGCCGGGCATAGTGGCACAGGCCTATAATCCCAGCACTGGGGAGGCTGAGACAGGAGAATTGCTCTGAATTTGAGGCCATCCTGGGCTACACAGACCCAGTCTCAAACCCACTCTGCCCCCCCAAAAAAGGAAAAAATGGCTAAACTATTGCAGTTAGCAATAAATCTTGTTTACTTACAGAAATGCTTGTATTTCAGCTACTGGTGGATCCTCTTAAGATAATTGTCTGCATATCTGCAGCTTGGGAAAGGGGGCCACTCTGGACACCCAGCAGGGAGGGCTCAAAGGCTCCTTCACCTAAGCTGCTGCCCACGGGCTCAGCAGATTCCAGGCGAGGCGGGTGGGCAGGGGCGGCCCAGGCTCCCCAAGGCTGAGGGGCCCCCGGAATGCGGGGCTGGTGGTGCTGGAGCCTGCTGATCTCTTCCTGCTGCTCCGGCTCCTCAGGCTTGGTCTGTGCAGAGTGAGGGCGCTGGTGACATGAACAGGGGACGCTGAGGCACCACTGTCCCCGGATACTGTGCGGTTGGTCTCCGACCCGACCAGAAACGGAAGAGCCTGGCTGCCAGCGAGCAGAGAACAAGGGGAGTCGGCTCTGCTCTGCGTGGCCCGTCGCTCCAGTGTCTGGTCGGCTTTTCGTGGTTGGCAGCGCTCCGTGTCTCCTCCTCGAGGTTGCAGAAGTGTCCTTTCTGTCTTCCACTCGTGTTCGTGGATTCTCTCCCTTTAACGCTCCAGGATGGAGACGGGGATGGTGACCATGTAGGTGACAGTCTCCGTGCAGCGCCGCGCCGCTGGCGTGGGTCGCTCCGTGCTTCTGTGCGTCCCGTGCCCTCCCCTGCCAGGCGGCCGGAAGCCCCGGCTCCCCGTGCGCACTGCCCCACGCGTGTGCGTCCCTCCTCCCGGGCCGCGGGCCGCGCGACCCCGGTCCCAGCTGCGGCTGCCGAGGCCCAGCAGCACGCAGGGGCTGCGCGGCTTCGTCGCGACACCGCGTAGTGAGGCGCCGGACGTGAGCGTGCAGGGGGAGCCGGCCCGCGGGGCTCCGGGCTTTCCGGGGTCTCAGGCTGTGGGCTTTCTCGCCTCAGCGGCTCAGAACTGGGACCCGGGTGCCCAGACCAAGGGCGCCGGGACGCAGGGAGGCGCTTTTCAAGTTGGCTGCTTGCGTCCCACCCACGCCTCTGCTCCTCTTTTTTCCTTTCTTTCCCTCTGTCCCTTCCTTCCTCCCTTCCTTTAAAATTTTTTTTTTATTTTTTATTTTCAGGGCCTCACTGTGTAGCTCAGGCTGGGCTTGAACTCCTAGGCTCTAGAGATCCTCCTGCCTCAGCTTTGTGAGTAGCGGGCACTGTGGGGAGGCTTGTGCCACCGTGGCTGGCTGGGATATTTGTTCCGAATGCCCAAGGTAGCGCCAGAGAGCAGGAGTTTGGAGACACCGTGCCGTCTGGGGAGCAGTTACCTGCTGTGTAGCTTCAAGGGCGCTCTGTGACAGCATTTTGCAAGGGTCTAAGAAGCTGGGGAAATTATTAATAGTGGCTAAAACAACACCAGTGAGCGTAAGAAGCCCGTTTTGTGGTGGGAGATCTTTCTGTGCTCACTTGTGTGGAAGAATTCTTTTTCAGGCAAACTAGTGGCGGCTTTGGCAGTGGCACCTCGGGCTTTATCTTCCTCAGAGCCTCGGTCCCCAGGGACGCGCGGTGTGGCTGTCACCTCCGGAGTGTGTGCTGCTTGGTGCCCGAGTCAGGCCGCCACAACCCCCGGGCCCATGGGATCCGCGCTCGGTTCTTGTTCTTGATCCTTCTTGTGGAGAATTCTCTTGTAATAAAAATAAAAATTACATTTAGTAAAAAACGACATATTTCTTTGTCCCATGATTGGGCATGTTCTTTTATTTTTCTTTTGGTACCGGGGATTGAATTTAGGGCCTTTGTGCTGAGTTATAGCCCAACCTTTTTTTTTTTTTTTAATTTTGAGACAGGCTCTCACTAAGTGGCTAAGTTGCTTGAATTTGTGATCCTCCTGCCTCAGCCTCCCACATACTGAGATTACAGGTGTGCATACCACGTTCAGGTCTACAGTTCACTCTATTTTTGCACACTTGCCAGCACACTAGGAA